ATGCACCGGCTGCCCCAGCTCTGCAGGCTCCCCACCCACCCAGCCACCCACCCCGGCCTGCCCGCCTCACATGTGTGTCCGAGGGTGAAGGGGAGCCCAGTAACCAGGGGCAGGAGGCGGCCCGGTGAAGGGGGCGGGGGGTAGGAGGAAGGAATGAAGCACAAAAAAGAGGCAGGAAGAATTGCAGGCACTGGTGGGGGACATAACGAGTTGCCCGCTGCCTGAGGATTTAGGCCAAAGCCCCCGAGGGGAGCGGAGCGGGCATGGGCTGTGGGAAGGGATGAGAGGTGTGGGAAGGGGGCCGGGCCCCTGCCTGGGCACAAGGCTGAAGTCTGGGTGCTAAGGGCTGCCCCTGAGTCAGCGCTCCTAGCCATTCGGGGAGGCGGCAGCCTGAGGTTCTGGGGCGCTGGAGGGGGGCAAAGCGTCCTTTAAGAAGTGCCCACCTGGAAGGCGGGTGGGGGGTAATCAACCAAAGACCTTGTATGCAGATATGGTAACCGGTGGCCGAAGACAGTGGGGTGATGAAGGCCTGTGGTGGGGAGGGGGCCTGGGGAGGGTTGATGGGGGGAAAGGGGGACATATGTAATACTTTCAACAATAAAGATTTTTTAAAAAGAAGAGGCACCCACCTGGCCCAGCGGGCGTGGCTCAGTGGTTGAGCATCGACCTCTGAACCAGGGGGTCACGGTTCCATTCCAGTCAAGGGCACATGCCCGGGTTGTGGGCTCCATCCCCAGGGTGGGGCGTGCAGGAGGCAGCCGATCAGTGATTCTCTCTCATCACTGATGTTTTCTATCTCTCTCCCTCTCTCTTCCTCGCTGAAATCACTCAAAAGAAAAAAAGCAGCACCCACCTCACCTGGCCTAAGGGGTGCCTGCCCGGAAGCTTCTGTAGCCCTGACAGGTTTCCCTGACCTTGTCAGGCAGGAAGGGAGGGAGAGAGGAGCCAGGAGGACCAACAGCCAGAAGGGCGGGCGCTTGGGTTTCCTCCCCTCCCGCTCCCTCCCACCTCACCCACCCCGTGACCCCCAGGGTGAGCCAGGCACCACTGTCATTGGTGGGCTTCCAGCTGTAACCCATTTTCAGTCTCAGCCTCTTTCCGGGATTTGACTTGCTGTTCTTTCCAAAGCCCCGGCTCTCCAAGTGATGCCAGCCCAGGGAGGGGGCGCCTGAATCTCGTCTTGTGGGCAGAGGTAGCACACCAGCCGGGTGAACAGAGCCCATCGGGTCTGTCCGGAGCTGCTCGTCCCCACAGCCTCCAGCGACCACGTGAGCTGCTTCTTGCCCCATAGGACCCTCCTTCAAACTCCTGCAGAGCAAGAGCTCTCGGCCTGTCTCCTTGGGCAGCCTTTTCCCAAGCGTGCGGGTGGGCGGCTCATTTCTGCCAAGCGACTCCAGCCCAAAATAGCATTGAACCAGACTTCTGGGAAGCCCTGTGCTCCCGGCCTCTGTAGAAAAGAGTGAGAAATGACAGCTCTTGGGAAACCAAGGGGGCTGATTTGCTGAGACGGGACACGATGCAGAGTCCTGTGACCTCAGAGGGCAAAAATAGTGGCCAGGGAGGGGTACAGGGCGTGTTAGGGTGGCAGGTCCCCCGCCCTGTGTGGCTGCCCTTCTGGGAAGTTGGTGGGCTGGGCCAGTGGGGATGATCCTGGGAGCGCAGGCCAGGTGCAGGAGGAGGCGGTGGCCAGATACTCAAACCACAAACACCACAACCCCCCAACTTCCACATTTGTTCTTCAGGCTGAGAACTCTCCTGGTGGGGGTGGCCTCCTCCACTGTTTCAAATCCTGATCTCTCATGTTTCAGGCTTGGGCCAGGTCCCTCGCCACCTTGTCTGGGAAGCTGCTTTCTCCCATCCCACTGAGTGCTCTCAGCCCTGGGCACCTCCACAGAACCCTTACCGTGCTTTGCCTGCCTGGCCTGAGAGGTTTTGCTGTATTCAACTTCCCGTTCCACCCAGAACCCCCCTCCACGCCCCCAGCCCCGGAATGTCACCTTCGCAGCTCCATCTCAGTGGAAGTCCTGGGGAAGTGCATTCATTAGCTGTCAGCCTGCCCTCTTCTGCCCTTGTGCCCTGATAAGCCTTCTTAGTGTCTGCTGGGACTTCCTGTTTGCTGTGTCTGCTTCCATGGGAGCCTCATCTCGGGTGTTGACCCAGCCTGCTCTTGGCCTGACAGCTCACCCCAGCCTCTGGGACCCTGGCTCGTCGTCCAGATCGACTCCTGGCAGCCCTTCAGCAGGAAGAGCCTTCGCTCCCTCCCTTAGCGATCGGAACGGGGGCAGAGGGTTCAGTGTACGGCACCGAAACTGTGGTCTTGTGTGTACTTCCCCGCTCAGGACACAGGTGCTAACATAACATGTCAGGTGTAAATGGCCATGCATACAGAAAGTAAGTTGGCTTCACGGAACTTTTTTCAAAGCATCCCAATGAATACAAGATTCCTCACATGCATTCAGAGGACTCGCTTTCCTTGCAACTTTTTGGGAGCAGTTGCATTGAAAATGAGGGATAGGATTAGGAGATGAGTTAGCAGGGATCAGACGATGTTCAGGGGTCATGTAATAAAATTCTGTATTATTGCAGACGCCAAAAACGTTGGAGATGAAAGTGTGCTGGACTGGGAACATCTGCCATAAGTGGTTTGGCATAACATCTGCGTCCCTTGGTAGCGTTTATCACTTCACTGAGCAGCTAACCTTCTCGAGCCATCCTTGAGCCACATCCTGGGGGACACTGTGTTAGGAACCCTTGGGTCCACCCCTGGCTCTGCCAGGTCTGAGTTCTGCTCTTTGGGGCCACCTGCTTCCCTGTCTGGGCCTTGGTTTCTTTGCCTGTAAAATAGAGATCGGTATACCTACGTCTCAGAGCTCTTTTAGGACCAGAGGAAGTGACTCCTAATGGGCACACGGTAAAGAGTAGCTTAACATATTTTAGATTTTGGGGGGAGGGGGGTTAATCCTCACCAGAGGATTTTTCACTGATTTTTAAAGACAGTGGAAGAGAGGGGAAGAGACAGAGAGAAACTTTGATGTGAGAGACAAACATCAATTGGTTGCCTCCTGCAGGCATCCCGACCTGGGGCCAGGGAATCGAGCCTGCAATGGAGGTACATGCCCTTGATGGGAATTGAACCTGAGACCCTCCAGTCCCAGGGCTGATGCTCTCTCCACTAAGATTTTCTTTTTTTTTAAAAAAAAAATATATTTTATTGATTTTTTACAGAGAGGGAGGGAGAGGGATAGAGAATTAGAAACATCGATGAGAGAGGAACATCGGTCAGCTGCCTCCTGCACACCCCCTACTGGGGATGTGCCCACAACCGAGGTACATGCCCTTGACAGGAATCAAACTTGAGACCCTTCAGTCCACAGGCCGACGCTCTATCCACTGAGCCAAACCTGTTAGTTCACTGAGATTTTCTAACTATGGGGGTAACAACTTCCTACACTTATATAATCTTTTCCCATCTGGGGTTCTTTATTTTTTATTTTTATCATTTTTATTGACTAAGGTATTACATATGTGTGGGGTTCTTTAGATCCAGGTTCTGTCCAGGGCGAAGAAGGTCAACCTGAGAGAGCAATTCGTTCTTTCAGGAGCCACCGGAGTAAAGACCCAGATTTCTAGAAGGAAGGAATTTAACAGCAGCACATCTACCAACCGATAGGGCCTGAGAGAAACCTGATAAGGAATCAGCCAGAGGCCTAATCAGTGACAAAGATGGCCTTTGCCCAGACACTGTGCCCCGAATGTGGCTTTAATCTAGGAGGTGTTGAAAGAGCATAATAAATACTTATTCTGTCCAGTCAAATCCAAGAGTTTGAGGAAAAACTGCAAAGTTTAGGTTGTGTGTGTCCCTCCGCCACGTGAAATGTGACTCTGAGGGAAGACGCTAAGCCAGCCCCTGCGATGGTGGTGGGGCCCAGAGCCTCATGCCGGGCCCTGGACTCCTGCCCCGGTGGACGGGAGCAGGAAGCACACATTAACCGCCTACACCGGCCACCCTGCTGAGAGGGAGCAAGAGCTGTCCTTTGCACCTCAGCTCTTTCTGGCCCAGCTGACCCCAATTCAGGGGAGACATGGTATATTGATTTCCTAGGACTGCATAACCACGCACCACAACCTGGGTATCTAGACTTAAAGCAACAGAAATTTATTTGCTCAGAGTTCTGGAGGCGAGAGTTCTGAAATCAAGGTGTCAGCAGGGCCACGCGCCCTCAGAGATTGGGTTCAATCCTTCCTTGTCTTTTCCTAGCTTCCTAGCCGTAGGGAGCTGACAATCCTTGCGTCCCTTGGTTTAGCAGGGGTGGGGAATGTCCGGCCCAAGGGCCGTATAAAGCCCTCGAAATCATTTGGCCTGGCCTTGCCAAGGCAACCGCAGGCAGGACTTGAAATTCAACAAATCTAGGAGCTTTGTTCATAGCAACATAAATGTATATTAAGTGAATGATATTGAGCAAGTGATGTTATAAATATCCAAATGGCTCTTGGCAGGAAAAAGGTGCCTAACCCCTGGTTTATAGCTACATCCCTCCAATCTCTGCCTCCGTTGGCACGTGGCGTTCTCCCTGTCTCTCTCTCTTCTGGTGGCATTCTCCTCTTTATAAGGACACTGGTCATAGTGGATAAGGGCCCACCCGAAGTACTTCTTCTTCACTTGATTACATCTGCAAAGAACCTGTTTCCTAATAAGGTCATGTTCACAGGGACTAGGGCTTAGGACTTCACGATACCTCTTTTAGGGAAAACAACCCATAAAATATGGTAACGGGGCTACGTTTGATACACGGGCTGTAGCACAAGCTGAGGGGATAGTCAACACAGGGACATTCCATACGTGCCGGCGAGGGGGCACCTTGAGGCAGCAGGTCCATCTCTCCGGAACCTCAAACACATCCATGTCCTTGAATCCAGTGATCCGTTTCTAGGAAGTCATTAAACATGTTGGTAAAACCTGCACAGAGGTATGTCTCTCAATGCTGTTTGTAATAATTAATTACTGGGAACAACTTCAATGTCCCACAGGTAGGGATGGTGACTAAAATAAGGCGTATCCACATGAGGGGACATTATGTAGCCTTTAGAAAGGATGTTTCCAGAAAAGAAAAATAACAGGAAAAACGAAATGATATGTTTTAGTATGTTGTCAGCTTTATAAAAATATATAAGGAAGGAAAAAATCAGCATAATGTTAATGCTCCCTCCCCCCTTATGGAGGAATTATGAGTGATTTTGTTATTTTAAAAAATTATAACATTATATAAACTCTCTTCATTAGCTTTATAGCCAAGGGGGGGGGGGCGGGACGAATGATCTTTTAAAAATAGATATATGAATAGTTTCCTGGAGTATACATTCCAGGAGAGTTCTGGCTGGAGGAGAGCAGCAGCTGTGGGTGTCCGGCTGATTTCCGTGCTTACAGGCCACACCATCATCCCCCTGGAGCATTTCAGCATGTAGTTGGGTGGCTACTTGCATCAGAATTACCCAAGATGCACCCGGCTGGTGTGGCTCCTATGAACCAGGAGGTCACGGTTCGATTCCCAGTCAGGGCACATGCCCGGGTTGCAAGATCGATCTCCAGTAGGGGAGGTGCAGGGAGCAGCTGATCAATGATTCTCTCTCATCATTGATGTTTCTATCTCCCTCTCCCTTCCTCTCTGGAATCAATAAAAATATATTTTAAAAAATAACTGCCCATGATGGTTATTTAAAAATGCAGGATTCTAGGTCCCACCCCAGACCGCCTCAATCAGGGTCCCCGGGTGCAGAGCCCAGGAATTTGCATTCTCACAGGCTCTGCGCATTTGAGACTGAATTCCCCCACCCACTCATCAGTAATCCAGTGTGGTTTGTCACACCAGTCATCGATGGCCTCTCAGCCCACACCGTGCTTTGAAGAATAAAATAAAATAGAGAAGTTATTCTCTTACTAAAGTCTATTTTTGGTTGTCTCACCTAAGAAGGGAAGCTGCAGAACACAATATTAAAACGGATAGGAACTTCATAATTGTGTTTTATTTTGGAACTCGGTAGCAGCAGCTTGCGTTTCTTCACTTAATAATTAAAAGGAATTTAACATTCCCAGACTCTGCCCTAGTGTGGGGTTCAGAAAGTTGCAGGAAGACATCAGCCCACAGTGAAAGGTTTGCCCATTAACTAGGGGGTGTTTCATGTCCAGGCAGTTGAGAACCGTAATTATAGACGTGATTTCTTGTAACTTACAACCTTGAGGTTTCCTTTATGGCCGGGCCGGGGAGCAATATCAGAGGACAGAGGCCGGTGGAACGTTGTCCTCTTGAAGGCGTGTCCTGGTTCAGGGCAGGGTTGGTGTGAAGGCCCGTCGAGCCCTGGGGTGCTGGGGCTTGTTGAGACCCAGGCAGTCCTGGCGTGCTCAGAGGGGGCCCAACAGCTGTGCAATTAGACAACTCATCAGCGGGTGAAATTCAACCCCACGGAGAGGCAACAGTCCAAGGTATTAGTCCATACACGTTGCTTCCGGAGTTGGTCATAGGCACGTAGGTGAGCCATCCTGAGAGTGAAATACATGTCTACACGTGGGAGCACTCAGAAGAAAGAACCAGAACAGCAACTGTGAAACTGTGCGTCTCACCTCCTGGAAGCGGTCATGTTCCCTTTCTGCGCCTTCGCACAGGTGGCCTCAGGATGCCCTCGCCTGAGCCCGTCTCAGGGGGAGGAGGGCAAAGGAGGTAGGCTCCGGAGGGGCGAAGAGCCGGGCACCTAAATCACACCTTCCATTTGTGCTTTGTCATCATCCCCAGCTCGCAGGCTGGCGGGGGCCGATCTCCCGCGGTGAGAGAGGAGGGCTGCAGGGCAGGGCTGCCTCCCACTCAGCAGCTCCGGGTGGTCCTGAGCAGCCGGGGGCTGAGACCCGGCCCTGGGGAGCACAGGCCCACGGCCAGGCCCGCTGCCCCTCCCAGGTGCCCCTCTCCTGCAGCACAGGGCGGAGTCGGGGAAGCCGGCCGAAAGGGTTAGGACCCATCGAGGAGAAAAACGTGAGAGGAGCCGGTGTCTTCCACACACATGTAATTAGCTCCCAGAAGATGCCACGGAGTCATAATGGGAGCCGGCAGCGGGGGAGGAAGGCTCTGACAAGCATGAGATTTCTCGTGGGTTTTTACATTTAATTTTTTAAAGGAACATGAACAGTTGCAATTGTAATCGTGGCCCTTCACTGAAGGTGTATCCCCAGCAACAGGTCTGATCATGCTGTGTCCCACCCCCACCCAGGAAGGGTGACCCGGAAGGGCTTTTCAGCCTCAGAGCTTTCTCTTGGCCCCGAGGGCTTGTCCCTGGTGACCCACGGTGGGCCTGTCAGCAGCCCCTGCTCTGCCAGCCTGCCCCAGGGTGACAGCCAGCCCCAGGGCCCCAGGACTCCCTGGAGTCACCTCCACCTCCAGCCAGAGGCTCCCAGGGTCAGCAAAACCCCGGCCTCCTCCCAAGTGCCCTGCCCTCAGCGGC